TTTTGTACATACAAATCTGTGTGCTCACACAATTCGCTTGTTATTTTGTGTCTTAGACGCACAGGATAAAGTATGACCATTTACCAATTAATCCATCTTATGTAGGTACAATGGAACACAAGGCGTCCATACTAAAGTCACGGAATTCGAGAGGGATAAAGAGTGCCTTGTGTGTGGTCCTGGTGTACTTATTGAAGTGGAGCCTTCAGTCACATTGCAGAAGGTTATTTCTCAGCTCTTGACTTCCGAACCTCTTCGATGTATATTATAAATTTAATAGTTTTATGTTTTCTTAATGCTTCTCTATTCTTGATGTCTTTTAAGGGACTAAACCAAATATGTATGAATATGTGTTATGAAACTGGAACTATTAACATGTACGTTTCACTGCAGCTCATGCCTGGGGGCGCATATACTTTTTTTTCTCTCTTTCTGAGTCCTTATTTTGCCATTATCTTTTTCATCTAATACTGTACGTTTTAAAATGATGTATTTAAATTTAAATATTTTAGCGTGTGGAATTTGCAGAGCAGCTTCTTGTACGTTCATTTGACTTTGTGCCCTTGAAAGATTATTTTGGAAGCACATGAATAATCTTGAAGAGTCAAACCTTCATAGTTACTTGAGTGTTTTTATTACTTCCATTATCGTTTCACTTTTTTTAATTATTGTCTGTATAAAGACCTGTCAAGTGAGGATTCCATATTAGAAAGCAGAAACATTACAATTTTTTTTATTTGGAAACGGCCATGGTCGGATCTTCAGTGCGAGTCTTGTGCCCGCCTTTACCTTGGCTGATTTGACTTAGCTTCACGCAATTTACATCATGAGGAAAATATCCCGTCATCGATGAAATGGTCTGCATCTTGACTCTGGAATTGGAACAGGGCTCATGTGCTAATGATTACTTGTATTTTATTAAGTGAAGTTTTTCTCTTGTGCTGATATGAGTTATCTTTAGCCTACGCCTTTCTAATGTTTTTTAAATCTTATTGTGGAATCAGTTCATTGATCTTCTGGAAGAACATCCTAAGTTGAGGTTATCACGAGCCAGTGTCTCGCATCGGGGAAAAAATCTGTACATGCAAGCGCCACCTGTATTGGAAGAAATGACTCGATCAAATCTGAGCCTAACTCTTTTCAATCTGATGGGTAAACCATCCAGGGGTATTGTTCATGTGAATGGTACAGCCACCACGAACGACCAAAAAGTCTCCTGCCTGAGAAAATTATCAGTTGTTTTCAAGGGAATTGATGGTGTTACAGATATGGACACAGCAGGAGGAGCATAATTTTGCATCAAGGGTTTACAAAACATGAAAGGTTTATGAGATTTGAGAGATCATGGCAGATTGCTAGTATTGTTGAGGCAGAGATAATTGTGAAAAAGGATCTGAGCGTAATGATATTTCTCTGTAAGAATCAAATAACTCCTCAATGTGGTTATTCAATTCAAAACCATATTGATCTAAATAGCCATGTGGTTTGATTATTCGACCCTCGTGGATAAAATTAACGTAGATTGGCCCAACCTCATGAACATTTCTCAGTTTCTTTCTGCAGATTTGTTGCCCCCGGATCATAGCCTACTGGTTAATTTCATTTTATCACATATGCTTAATTATGTTGATGTAGCTCTGGTACATCGTGGATTTAACTTTTAGCTTAAATTTTCTGGGAAGTGGGTTGCCTCTTATTTTTGTGATTTTAGTTAGTTGATGGGGCTGTTTTGATCCTACCTGCAAATATAATTATGATATATTGGTTTTTTTTGTCCAGAAAGTTGGCAAAAAAAAAAACTTGAAAAAAATTATTTATGACTAATAAATAGCGCGGGTTGTCATAAAATTTAAATGGTACTCTCTTGAACATAAATTATTAATAATATTGATAACGAGGTAAATTAAATCATCCGTCGGTCCACATAGGCACAGAATCACGTTGTGCGCGGTGCCTGTGGCATTGCGTGGATTCGAGTCTCTCAACTGCGTCACTCTCCCGCCTAGTACTCCACGCAACACACAAAAGTGAAGGTGAAGACAAGAGAAAATCTCCGGCGTTTTTTTTTTTTTTTGAGCAAAAACAATCTCCGGCGTTTTTCAAGATTGTATAATAATCAATAGGAAGCTCCTGAAGCTTAAATTGGAACCTGAGGAAGAAGCAGAAAATTACTCGTAATATTATACTCTTTCAGTCTTTAATATATGACCTAATTGTTAAGTTGGTTTCGGTCCTAAATATAAAATCTATTTATCATATTTATTAGTTTTTTTCCTAAATCATCTTATAATACTCCCTCAAGTATAATCAAGTAAAGGGGAGGAGGAAGGATATTAAAGAAGATGATTATGGTATTTTGAAAAAAACATATTATATTTCTTATAATTAACTAACTTACTTAACTTCTTTAATATAATTAAATTAGTTAAATAAGTCTCATATTGAGGGCATGAAGAGTACTATTCATACTTTCTTAGGTTTTCTCAGCTGAATCAATCGCCCATCCTCCTCATCAATCTGTGTTGCTGCTCCTCCGCCAGACTCTGAGAAGCCAATGAGGGATCTAGCCGATGCAAGATATTCTTCTTACATCAATTTCCTGCTCATTTTCCTTCAAACCCTGAAATTTCTCCTCCTTCTGTGATTTCCATTGTTTTTTAATGCTTTATATTCGCCTCTCGTCCAATCACTTCGCTCTGCTGACACGAAACTTGACATTAGTCTCTCAGACAATTTTCGTTTTGTTTTATGTTTTTAACTTCCCTGCCAACTAGATGAAACCAACTCAAATAAATTCAGTCTCACATGGCAGTAATGGTAAGAGGAATCAATAGTCATGGGTCCCACAAAAATTTATATTCCTCTGGTCCTATTTATAGGACAGAGAAAGAAGATTTTTTTTAATTCTATTTATAAGGCATTGAGAGAAATTTTTGTATCGATGTACAATTTTATCCCTCATTTATTACTATGTCGACTTTATTTATATGAGATATAATATATATTAAATAAGGATAAAGTTAGAAAGTTATTAAATTTTAGAAAAAATCCCATATAAATACCTATTAAATTCTAAAATTTTAAATAAGTCATTCTAATTTCATAAAAAGACAAATAACTCCGTAGGTATTCATTTGGGATTTGCAATTTTTGACAATTTACCTATATGCCCTTTCTTTCACTCTTTTTTTGTCAGATCAAAGAGAGTTCTTCTCTCTCACTTCAGGCTCTTTTCTCTCTCCCTCATGATGTTCCCGACGTCCTTCTCTCCTAAAACAATTACAGATCCTCACTTTCAAATCATCTTTATCTGAACTTCCAACTTCGTTTTACTTGTTTAGGGTTCATCCGAACTTCCAACTTCTAGAATTATTTTAAATTACCTCTACTTTTCTCACATTACCATTCTTCAATCGTGTAATGGGCTACTTCTCTATTTCTTTGGCTTCCTCATACGACTTGAAGAACACATATACTTTGGGCTTTCTCATTTCTCATTTGAATATATGTAATGTAATTGCTGTCACAGAGTTACTGTTTTTTGGTAAATACCATAATTCTAATGGTCAATTCTATTACAAATGTAGTAAATCATGAAAATTATTGTTAATATGTTTATTATGACATACTTCAGGGGTATTTATCTATTATCTACTAATTTCTCAAAACATTTACCTCATTATTTAATTCTCCCAAAAGGTTATATTTGGTGGAAATTGATTAAGTCAATAGTATGAAAATAGGCAAATACATTTTTCAAGTTGTTAATTACGTTACATGTCTAGTCAACTTGTCTGACTTAGCCTCCCCAAAAATTTGCACCAAGTCTGAAAATGACTAATAAATGTTGCAAAATGTGTTATGAAAATAGTCATATGCATTTTGTAAATTGTTAATCATGTTACACTTTTAGTAAAATTGTCTGAAAATGACTAGTAATAAGTTACAAAATGCATTATGGGAATAGTCAACTTCATTTCACAAGTTGTCAATTACATTATATGTTTAGTATTATCTAGAAATTGCTAATAACAGGTTGCAAAGTGAGACAACCATCCAGTCAAAACTCATTTAGATTAAAAAAAATAAACTTATATCATGAGCACTTCTATCATTAACTTGGGCCTTGGACTTCCAAAATCCAGAAATATCATTCAACCATTAACCCAATCCAAACTCATATTTTCAAATATACGAACTGACAAATCATTTTAGTATAAAGGATGGAGCCCATTAGTCAAAAGTCAACACTTTATAGCATAACACGTAAAGTCTTAAAGATTTCTAGCCTTCTAACGGTCTCCCATATCAGATAGTAGTAATTAAAAATATTAGTTTACAACACTAGAGTAGATGAGCCCTATGTGGCAATATATAATAAACCAGTATATAGAACAAAAGCAAGGAGGCTATACAAGCTATAACAGCACTCTATGCCTCCGAAGCCTTCCCTGATGGGTTACCACCTGAACTATCACTTGAAGATAGTAAAAACCATGGGGGTGAGACAAACGCCTCAGTAACCAGCTTTCTAATTCATCATACATACTAACATGTGATCGTAAGGTATCAAGTGGGATGGTTATTAAATCTCAGGAAATATAGATATATCGATGGAAATATGTATATTCAAATAATCTCAATCATCCAAACCCTTGTTATAGGAGCTAACACACAAATCACATAATTCTATCCCTCACTACAAGGGATCAATCAGATATATAGGCCTATCCCACTCATTGGGGGACAAGTAAGAAGTCACCAACGTCTATCCCTTATTCTAGAGATGAAGGAAGCCAACCAATGTGCATCAATAACGACCTTACCATATGTAACATCTTAAATTTTACTCCACGAATTTAAATATTAAAAAAAAAAAAAGAGGGTTCCCAATTGTTATTTTCTCCGTTTTATTTTGGGTCTTTAACTTTAGTTTACCCCGAGTGACTTCTTTTTACTTTCTCCCGTCATTTTTTCCTCTTCTCCTTCTCTCTCTCCGCGTTCATTCTTCGTTCTGCTCGCGGCGTCGCTCGTCTTTCTCCCTTCTTTCTTCATCGTTTCAGATAGTTTTGGTAAGTAAAACTACTTCTAATTACAAAACTTCCTTCATGAAAGTTGTTCTATTCAGTCAGATCTATCTAATGATAGTAATTTTGTATTGCTTAAAGAAAATTTTTGATATAAAGTTTGGAACAAGTATTTAGTTTTGATGATTATTAATCACAGTATTGTAGATCTGTTATAATAGATCATTTCTACCGGTTTAGATTTGTCTATTTGTTGATTTTAGTATTTACAAATTAATTTTTAATAAAAAAATATGTTATTTATGAGATATATCATATTTATACCGATTAAAATTAAGTTAAATAATTTATTTGGATTGTTTGATATATTCTTAAAATTTTAATCGGTTTAGTTTTATTTATTGAGTGATTAGAGGTTTTAAAATAATTATTGTAGTTAAAGTTTCTTATTTATGGAAAAAAAAAACATATATATGCCATTAAAATCTTGGTTTGATTATTTATATATATAAATATTTGAGACACTATTGAATTTTTGATGGTCCGGTTTTAAGGCTTAAATTTTAAATGTGATTTTTAGAATTTAGAATATACTAATTTCATATTTAGAAATTTTAGAAAATTCTTTTTATTAAAGTAAATAAGTTGAGGGATGTAAATAAATAATTTGGCTTGTTAGAAAAATTACCAATTAGTTCTAAAGTACTTAATTTTGGATTATAAGAGTTGTGAGAATTTAGAATGATAATTAAATTAAATTAGGAATTTAACTAATATATATAAGCTTAATTAATTAGCTTATATTAATTTGTGGTTATATTAATGGTGTAGATTGATTATTGGATTGTTGGTTTGAGCACGGGGTTGACTTTGTAGTAATTCTTTTTATAGCCTTGGTGAAAGGTAACCACTTTCCACTTGTTATGTATGCTTGTATGATGTTTGTGAGTGATTTCAAATTATATGAGATTCTTGAAATGCCATTGAATTATTATTTGAGCAATGAAAGGCATCGTTGTTGAAATTGCCTTGAGATACTTTATGTTATTGAAAAATAGTATGAAATTATGACTTTATAAATTTGTCATGTGGAACAAGAATTTATTGAGAAATGGTTTGAGGACTGGTGTTGATTATTGAAATTTCGAAATCTCGATTTTGATAAATGTGAAAGTTATTATGTTATTGGTAAATGACTATTCTCATGAGTATAAATACGAGAGGGGACGGTGAACGTTGATTTGTGGGAGACATGTTATAGGGAGAATAAGGGGGTGAATTTTTGTACATATTATAGAGGTAATAAGGTGGGAGGACGCCAGATGTACACTGGTTGATCCTTTGGCCCTATCATGTATTGTAGGGTGTATGACACCCCGCTAGTGGACTAGAGGGGGAACCCATGGTCTGATCTTGTGCTCTGTGGATTTTGGCCTATTCACATCACCTGATCAGTGAGCTTATTATGTTGAACTACCAGTCACATGGGACAGTACTAGCCCATGGGTTCAGTCAGAGGAAATAAGGTGTGAGGAAATAAGGTGGAATTGAGAGTGAGATATTGCATTTTGATATGTATATGTGTATATATATATATATAACCATGTGACAATTGTTAATGTTATGATTTTAGTAACTGTTCCACTT